AACTACCAGCTCAACCACTTCTACAACAACTAGCACAACCACCTCTAAAACAACAACCGCAAAAATCAGTAAGTTCACTAACGATGATTAAACATAAATTAAAGTATATCAAATAAAAGAATCAAATTTTAACATTAAACGTAATAGGGCTGGACTCAGTTCCATCATTTTCAACTGCTATAGTTTGGTCTTTTTAACTTGAAGCATTCGTTGTAGAAATCCTTGAAAGGGAAACTAAGTAGACTGATACATGATAAAATTGTATATTTCATTAATTTAGTATATATGTCTAATTTTTCGAAAATAGCATCAGCTTTGAATAGAAAAGTAGGGAATTTGCTAGTTTGTCCGGTAAAAGCTATGCTAGCAAATGTCAAAAGAATTTTTCGTTACTAAGATACACATAATATTCGTAATTAGCTTTACAAATTATGTATAAAAAAAACTTAATATTTTTCGGTCATTGTTGGAAAAACGCGAGCAATTTTTACATAAGCTTCTTTTGATTTTCGATTGCTTTTCTAATGTTAATTACGAATATCACATCTGTTTTGGACAAGAAAAAAGCTTTTTAGAATGAGAATTGGAGTAATAATATGAGTATGGGCTGAGCTTTATCTGTAGAAACCTTCTCCCATTTTTGCCTTTTAACCAGTCATTTTTCAATCTCTATTATATTAATATTTGTTTTATATTACAAAGATGCCTTCACGATTCTTTATACATTTGATAATACTACTAATGATTATTATTACGGCAACTACAGTGCCGTTTCATACAATTCTCCCCAATACATTTCGCCTGGATACAATGGACGTGGTTATTCTATTCAACTCCTTTCAGCTCAATCACAGTATCTGACAATTGCTAATCATATGGACTTTTATAATAGAAGTTTCACTGTAGAAGCATGGATTTATCCTTCAACTATTTCTACTGGTAGTCCGTATGTTGATATGGTGATCTATGCTCAGACAAGTGCTACTCAAATTTATCAAGTTATGTATATGATGTTAAGAAATGGAACAGGCTATGGTGCTTTCTACGGTGATGATGTACAAGGATCAACAACATTTCAAGCACTCGAATGGCAACATATAGCATTTACATATGATTACATGATGACAACACAAGTTATATATATTAATGGTGTTGCAGGTAAACGACTAGAGATTATTTTTGTTTTATATAACATTACAACAATGCATTCTTTCTTTATTAGATGCTGTAAATTCTCAAGCACCACCTTGTTTAAGCACAGGTGGAATACAGACAATTGGTGTATATACGAGTTATAACGGTGGTTTTTATAATGGATATATTGATCAATTGGAAATTTCACTCGGTAGAGCAAAATCAGCAGCTGAAATCTTAGACGGTGCAACATTAGTTGCATATTACTCAATGGATGATCCGAATAACCCTGGTAGGGATAGTGGTCCTAATCAAATAACAGGCATCGCCAGTGGACCGATTAGTAGTGATCAAGGACGAGTTGGACAGTCACTTTTATTATATACGAACTCAAGTTATATTCAAATAACAGGTCTAGTTTTATTGGGACAATCATACAGTCCTTTTTCAGTTGCAGTATGGATACGACCATTAATATCCGTTACAAATGGTGGTACAATTGTGCACTTTTCTGACCATCTCGAGGGTACGGGTTTTTGCTTTCCATTTATAGGTTTAAGTTCGTCGGGACAGATAGTCGTACAAATTTATAATGGTGGTGTACCTGCAATTACTGGCCCTGTTCTGACAGTTGGTCAGTGGGTTCATATAGTAGAAACGTATAGCAAACTTAATGGATTGCGTTTATACGTAAATGGTATCCTCTACGAACAAATCAGTACATCGCCCTATATAGGAAGTGGTGTACCGATGATCTTTACTCTAGGACAACCTTTGCTTGGAGTTGGTTGTTCCAACAATAACATTCACATGAATTATTATCAAGGAGATATTGATGAATTATATATTTACAGTAGAGAACTATCGCAAGCAGATATTACTGCATTAGCAAATCCGTAGCATGAAACTTATCTTCAAAAATTTATATACAGCAAGCAAGGGGGAAAGCAGACTTTAGTAATGCGTACTTCACTTATATTGCACCTGTACTTCACGGTACTTCAAAAACATTTTGAAGTAAATAAAGTCGCACTTTTTTCCTCCTTGACCACAAATAACATTGCTTTGTTCATAAAGAACGTTAAATATTGTTTATTTTTGAAAACATAAATAAATAAATAAATAAAATGATATCACATAAAGTCAACTGAACAAAAGGCAAAGAATACGAGTACTGCTGATGATAAAGAGATAAAATTCTTTAATTGATTACAATTAGATCAGTACTGCTTGATTTTTTTCTTTAGTTTGTCACCAATAAAAAATATATTTAACAATTAGCAACACGTTCCATAAAGTAAATGTAAAAACTTGTTTTAAATAATATAAAGTCGATACTTGTGCATATATAATTGAACTAACTGATAAATAAGATTGCAATTGATAAGAATCTGATGAGTAATCACGTAGTCTTTTATGTATATATGAACAAAACCAATAATTTTAAACGTATTACTAACAAAACTTATATACTTATTTGTTAAAGACGACTAAGAAAAAATTACTAAACATCTTGTAGGAAGTTCATTTTTGCATATGGAGAAAGTTAGGAGAATTAATACTCACAATTGCTTCTTGTCATATTGTATGTAATTCTTTATATATACCGGTATATCAGATGGAACAGATTGACGAAACTTCATTTGATCCTCTAATGGGTAAATTATGAATAATGATTTCGAAAAAGCGACTCTTTCATCGTCTTAATTACTGGCCATACCAAAGCGTATTCGACATGATAATTAAATATAAAGGATATTAAATCTTCTTCAGGCATCTTTCATCAAAAATTATAACTTATTACTTTAAGAAATCAAATGAAAGTTGTAGAATAGATCTATGGTTGTATAAGTATGACGTGAAGTTCTTGCTGCGAAATACTCATATAAATAAATTAAATCTGATATCTTTGTCGTAGTTTCAATCAGATAATGAATCAAATATCGAACTACAAAATAAAATATAATACACGATAAGATTTAAAATAATTAAAAACCCAGCAAAAATTATATATGAGAAAACACGTGCTCAATATGTTCTTTAACTTTATAGAATAGTTTATTATTCTTTCATTATATTGCCTTCATCTTTTCATGTATTTACACTTCAAAAACATAACAATATACTTTTCTTCTTCTATAATATATTGAAAGCAAAGCTATTTATTATTATCAGTTCATTTTATATCAAATAATAACAATATTTTTTAAAAACCTATGCATAGTCTGTGATACAATTTAACTATTAAAAAATTGCGATAGTTTGTGTAAGTATAATTAATAATCGATAATATTATATAATGAGTATAATTAAATAGAGAATAAAACAAGAGTTTAATTTTGTGAAATAAATATTGCATGCTTTTATTTTACAGTAAAAAAGCATATTTCATCGCTGATTTCAAATGAACGTATTTTACTGCCCATATTTGTGACCTTTTTTGGTGAAGCACCTTGAATATCATCAACTAATGTTTTAATAAGTTCGATTGCTGTTCCAGCTCGAAGATAACCACCACCTGCTACGTCCATATAACTAGTAAGTAAATCGGCTTGTCCACGTAACGCGACACTTCGCCGATCAAGTTTTTAAAATTTTTTTTTTCGAGTTGAACAGATTTGAACAAGCTACTAGACGCAGTTTTTAACGCTGATTACGAATCTGAGATTTATTTTATAAAAAATTCAGATTTTATTATCAAAAACTGGGTTTTAAACTTTTGAAAAATCGTATTTCGAGTTTTCTACCCAAGAAAGTTTTCCAAAAATTTGCGAGAGACGTATCATTCAATGCAGAATTGGATTCTCTACAAAATGGCTTATTTAGTTTTGATTTTAATAGCTGGTAACAATTTTTAACCTCCAATACCCTCCCCAACTTCCGGTCCAGTTTTTAAGCTCCCTCGTGGATGAATTAATCTGATTCTTTAGTACACGTTTATCTACACAGTAATGAGTAACCGTTAAAAAATTCAAATCATTCGGACGATATTAACTACCTCAAAAATGGCTCACAAAAAAGTGTGTAACAGCGTTACGAAAAACGTAACAGCGTTACGTTTGTTTTTTGCATTTTTCACACAAACAAAAATAGCTAAAAGGAATTTTTTTTTGGTTTTCGAAAGCTCGTTTAAAGCTCTACAAACGTAGTTCTAAGAGCATTTCTTTTGAACAAAATATATCGCAAGAAATTAAAGTTTTCTTGGTGGTACTGAAGAATAAGGGTCTTTTTATGTAACAGTGTTACGCGACAATGTAACCCTTACAGATATCCGAGGCTTCAACAAAAAAATATCGTTTTTATAGAATAAGTAGAGTTCGATAAGCTGCATCGAATGGCGTTTGAACGAACGTTCTACCTATTACACTTTCCGAGATAATTGAACAAGAATGTGTCAAAAACGTAACAGCGTTACGCTTGGACAAGCCGAAATCTTCTATAACATAAATACCACCCGATTGAACTTTTGGTAGTAGATGATTAAACGAAGTAATTTGTTGATTCATTGTATGACCACCATCATCAACAATAACATCAAATTTACCTTTTGTTGATGTTATATTATTTAAAACTGCTACATCATCTTGACTGCCATAGAACATTGTGATATTCAACTATAATAGAAAAATAGACGGTACGATCGTAGACCAAAGTTTAGATAAAATGATATTCATTCTTGAGATATTAAAAAAAAACTTACCTTCGAGTTGTGAGCTTTATGCCAAGCTTCACCACAGGCACGATTGAATTCAAGAAAATAAATATTTGCTTGTGGTCCGAGATATTGACGCCATACATGTGCTGATGCTCCAGCTCCATAATCCATTCCACATCCAAGTCCAATTTCGAGTATATGTAAATTAGATCCTACATATTTTCTTATATATTTCTCATAAAGTACTTCATAATGATGAGTAGTAACTTTGTCTGTTCTATATTGTTGACTTACGCGTAAAAATGAATGCTCATCTGAAATTTGTTCTTTACGATAATTCACACCATCTGAAGTTATATTAGGAGTTCGACAAAGATTTTGATATATTTGAGCACTATAATGTGAATCTTTAACAAATAATAACAGTCCAATCAATGTTAGGGTGCATATTGCAATAATAATTGAGCAATTGTTCATTGTATTGAATTAACTGTATTTAATTCTTCATCTAACTTAAATAAAAATAACTACAATGGATCTTTTATGATTATATCATTCTCTGTTTTTAAAAAAAAACAACCTAATTAAATTATTATTGTTATTCTCAACAAATCAATTTGCTAACAAATTTTCTAGATAACACGTCTACTGATTGTTTTCTTGAGAATCAAATAAATATTTATGAATCTTATTTAATACTGATCTGTAAAGAAAATATTGATAGCATTTTTAACCTTTACTGTTGAGAAATCTGCTGATTAAAATTAACTCAATAGTAGTTTTACTTTGTTAATTGCGCATACATGCGAAAAAACATAATTAACACTTACAAATTCATTTAATATGATCTCATTTATAGTACACGCACATACTAGTGTAATTATAGTTGTTCTTGATTTAATACGAAACAGTGAATACGTAGTTTACCGCCTCTTTTTAATTAAAAAAAGGAGCAAGATAAAGATTTTTCTTTTACCAAGCAATTTGATAACTGGAAGAAGTGTGATAAACAGGATTGCCAAATCCAAATTTTAGAAATCAGGAAGTTTTCGTTAAAACACAGGAGTTGCTCAGAAGATTTTCTTTAAAAAATCAGGAGAATTTTTTCTTTAACTAAGAAGGAAAATACAGCAGTGTCACGCACTTTTTATTCTCAAATGTTTACAGTTTTGGTTCTTAATAAGCAAGTTAATGAAACGATCTATCTTACTGAGCAAAACAAAGAAACACAGGAAGATAATTACACATCGTTTAGTTTACTAATTATTTTCAAGCTGTACATTGAAAAATACAAATAAAACTGATTTAAGCATGTCTTAAGAAACTTCCGAAGAACCGAAACAGAATACAGTAAAGCACCTACATTCTTTTTTGATATTATTGTTATATGTTTGCATTTTTCTTCAAAGTGAATTTGTTTGTTTAACAATTCTATACTATTTCACAGATTTACTCATTTTAATTTTGAGCTCGACATCTATTAAGCTTATTTTTTTTATTCTATTTTTATTATCATATCGTCAAAATTTTGTGTAACTGATGATTAGTTTTTTAAACTCATTATTTATCGACCCATGGTAGCACTAGAATCGGATGGAATTTAACAAGATCGACCGGCCTGTAGAGATGGAAATTTTACGAATTAGGATTCTTCAATGGCCTCTTCTTTGTCGATCATGTTCCTGGCGATAAAAAACCTAATATAGCGTACACATTACTGGTAGAGTTGGTAAAGTAAGGCACAAAATACAGGTTATCTAATTATTCATTGTAATGCTCTATTAAAAATATGGTTTTTGTTGCATGTGTCATATATGCTCTCTGAAAGTATACACTGGCACAAAACTCTTTCCTCTATTTGTTTCTTTTTTACCATACCTTGTATAAAATTCACTACCAAATGAAATATAACTTCAGAGTTTTATTACATTGTGATCGTTTTATTATACTGAAATAACACGCTTAAGTCATATCTCTACTAGACAATAAATTCTATACAAAGTATGACAGCACAGTAATAAAAATGGTGGACAGTTTTTTTTTGTTCGTAGATGTATCTCATATTTGGATTCACATTTCTAGAATGTTTTTGTTAAAACTTAGGTAAGAAAAGAAATAAAAATTAGGAGAAAATCTTTAAAATCAGTTTCTAATTTCAGAAGAAATATCGTCAGGAGAAATGTTTAAAAATTAGGAGATTTGGCAACCCTGGTGATAAATATTAAACGCTCTTCAATGAAAAAACTATTTGTAAACTGATTGATCAATTTTTTAACTTAAATTTTTTTTCATAGATGCGCAATGGTAACACATAATTTTTTCTCTGAATGTAAAACTATGACATAACTAAATATTTACTAATTAATTCATTATATCTATCTGGATGTACATAACCACTTCCTTTTTAAGACATGCTTATCATACTCTCAAAATATTAAATTTCTACCGGTATGTGCTATTTCACAACTTGATATTCTTTAATAAATAATTATCAGTAACTCAGTGTAAAATCAGATCTTTCTTTTCTTATGATTTCTTCAATCGATTTTTATTAGATTTAATTAAACCTGATACTATTCGACTCAGTGGTGGGCTTAGGGGGGAGGGCAATCATCCCATCGCCGCCCCTTCCGAATTTTTTTTGATTTTTTACAGCGAAAATGAACGAAAAAATAGATTTACACTATTTCGACTGGACTCAAAAAATAGTTTTTAGTCAAAATCGCCCCCCTCTCCTCAGTTATCGCCCCTCCATACTCAAAAAAAGAATCGCCCCTCTTCCTTCTAAAATCCTAGATCCGCCAATGACTCTACTCTTGGGATTGATAATTTCCTTACCATCAAGGGTGGCGCGAGTCAGCCAACATTGGGGGGGTGTAACCAAAAATTTTTGAATTTTTGGGGGGTGTAGTGGAATTTTTTTGATTTTTTAGGGAGTGTAGCATGATCTTTGTTCAAAAAATTAAGAAAATTTGCCGATTTTGTTGAGCAAAAAATAGAAATTTTCAAAGATTGGGGGGTGTTACACTCTCGACACCCCGGTCGCGCCATCCCGGAACCCTCGTCTAAAGACTCGCTTAGCTCTTTCTCGTAGTAGGATGTGGGTGAAAAGGCGGCCAGCATCCGTTCTTACACCCACACCCAAATATTCGGATGAGTTTTCTGTAAGCGTCTATTGAATCTATTCTTGTAGCTTAAAAATACCACAATATAATCAATAAAAAATACTATCTTGTTTTCAAAAACCTTCACTGTGATTATTTGTTCAATCAGGTATTTCATAGACATTCCATGTAGATACTTGGCCCGTTCAATGATCATTGAAATAATGTAACAACTCTGAAATGTCTTCACGTTCATCATCATTTAATTCTTGAACATATAATGCAGGTACCAATGCTAAAGCCATTGCTTGTTCAATAACATTTCGAATCATAAGATTATTAAAGTAATTTGATATTAAACTTAATGATTGAACATGTATATAAATCGATTGGCAAAAATGAAAAAAAAACATCCTTTTTGAACGATCTTATTCAAGAAGTAGATTTAAAAAAACAGAAAAAAGTTATGCATTAATAAAATTGTAGTTAGTTTAGACCATAATTGTACCTGAATTAAAATTGCCTTTGTAAGTGTTAGGTTTTTTGATTAGTATCTATTACTCCTTCCTACGTAGATACGTAAGCGGGATGATAATCTTTCGAAAATCTGGGTCTGTATAAGAATTTCTCTCTCCTTTGCTAAAATCCTACCTGAACTGTATTATTCTCGATAAGGGTATAAACAAAAAAGTTAGCGACAACATAGTATCACCAGTCGACGCTAACAGTAAGACCTTGTTCAAAATCTGTCATTATGTTCACAGGGTCTAGTTTTTTATTAAATTCTTTAATTAATCAAATAAAACGCTGAATAAGTATAAATAATTTGGTGCTTTTCGATCAGGAAGAAGTGCATAAACGACCGGTACACCTATCGTAAAAAGAAGATAATTTATTAGTATGAGAAATTATTATTTCCAAGTAGTTTTATATTGTAAATATAGCTTACATGATCTATGATGTATTGCTTGTATAATAAAGACTTGATCAAATTGTGCAGGTGACGTTGAAAATGTACCATCCATATATAGTTTTTCACTGTTAAATAATAAGGAAAGTTGAATATCTGACGACCAAACTAAAATTCTTCCTGATGGTTGTATATTATCCGATAAACTGAATTAGAATTGTGCATTTTCACTATCATGTAATAACAAACGATCACGATCAAGAAAATCTCTGGTATATGTATCAGGTATGATAAACGACAATGAATTTGATATCGGAGGAAGCTGGTGTGAGTGTGAGCCTTGTTCATATCACACACCCATTCACACCCTCAAGAAATAAAAACAATTTCATTCAGATGGTTACTGTAATAGGTTTTCCCCTGAAACAATACTATGACTTCGATTATTTCACGAAAACCAAAATCATTGTATTAGTTCCGTAATTTTTTCATCTCAGGCATCATATTTATCTTGTTTTCACAGATTAATGAAAACGAGTTTTAACGATATGAAAATGATTAATATGAACTACTCATAGATGCTCTTCATAATACATATCAGCGTGTGCTCAAATCGACTATGTAATGACAGAAAGTATGTCTAGACTTCCTTTTTTGATAAATTTTTGAAGTTTACAGTTCAAGTATCATTCATCTAAGTGTGTAGATGACTTTGGTATAAAATGGTTATATCTATTTTTTGCATCATGCTCATAGCATAACTTTCAGAAGGTTTTTATTATATTCATGACATGATTCTCATACAGGCTAAATGATTCTTATGGTATAATACGCATATAGATTTTGGTTTTCCTGACGAAATATTGTGATTATATTCCTGTAACTATAATCATTTTTGTCAAATGGAAGTGTTCCCAGTCAGACAAGCTTTAAAAAAAACGACGTTTTTATGCGTAAAAAGTATATATTTTTGCATAATAAAGAAATTTGTTTATGGAAAAAAGGCAAGTTTATAAGTATTCACGTTGTGAAATTCGTTTTTTTCCATACTTGTCTGACTGGGTAGAAGTTTATGCATGAATTTAAAATAAATCAAAAATAATATTCCTTTCACATTGAGAAATGGAATTTTTTTGTCTTCGTCATCATTTTTTCTGTAGTAAAGCTTCTATTAAACGATGTATTATACATTGTTTTTTATTCTATGGGAATTTTTTCACTTCATAAAGAATTTTTCAATTTTCGAGCCGCCACTGCCGATAAGAAATAAACATAGGAGCTGCGTTGCCGACAGTTGAAAAAAAGGACAAATTTCAAAAAGTCGCCCTCAGTCAATTCATCAGCTTCTACTTCTAACGGCGTGTTAAGTAGTGAATCAGAACAAAAGTTTATTTCTTTATGCATTCATATTTACATTTCTTTCTTGTTTTACTGTTCTGATCTTCTTGTATTTTTTCCCAATGTAATTGTATGAGTATTGTCGAAGCTTATAAATCGACTTTATATTACTGTAAAAATGCAAACTCCAAGTAAAAAATTTCATTTTCGATACGCTTTCATTTATTGTAAAATTTATTACTTATTCGGTTAGAATTTCTAATGATATCTCTTTTGTGATTCACTAATCTTTCCCATATCAGAAATCGTTCAAAGTAGATAGAATTAGTTTGATAATTTTATTTCATAAATTTTCTACGTCGTGTTTTCGCCGTTCACTTATTATAAATTATAACCAACACATAAACTAATATAATATCGTTTCAGAATTTCATTCATCAATATTCTTATACTGAACGCTATAAGATATGTCGCAAGATTATCAAAGTGATCTTTTGAAGAAAGTTACAGATTCGATTGATGAAATTTGTAATCTTGATGATATTTATCATCGTGAAAAAGCTTCTCGTGCCTGTGTGAAGTTATATACGTAAGTTTTTTTGTCTTTATTAATTTGTTTTCATTTGTGTTTTATAGACATATCTATGAATGTTTCCAGATAAGCGCATCTGCCGTTCCAGGTTTAATTCATTCGTTATCCATCGATAATTTTCGAGATATGCTAGGACAAGACATATATCTGCATTTAAAGAATTATCTACAGAACAAATTCAATAACGTATCGAAGGTAAGATTTTTCATCTATTTTCACAAAAAACAGCATGAATGAACGTAAGCGTGTAGATGAGAGTAGTTAGACCATCGACTATACTCCTTAAAATAACTGGTTAGTATATATGTACGATGAATATCTGCTTGTTAGCTTTATTTTGCTAAATATTTTCTAATTATTTTTATGAAAGGATATTGATAATGAATCCAATGAAAACATCCTTCAATATTTCAAAGAACTTCAATGCAAGTACAAAGAAGTGTTTAAAGTATTAAACGGTGGTTATCGGTATTTTCATAATCATTGGCTCCAACGTCAACTTGACACGGGAAGATCTGATATCTATAAAATTGATGTCGTATGTTATATAATTTATTTTTAATATCTCTACAAAACTTTTCTAATAAATAGTTAGCTCAACGACTTTGGACAGAAATTGTGTTAAAGCCACACTTTCAACGATTAATACAAGTATGTTTGACGTCCATCGACATTAGTCGTCAGAATCGTTTGCCTGTTGATACAGAGCCAATCAAATTTATTTTACATCTGTATTGTAAGGAGATTATTTTGTCTTTCGTTAATGCGAAAATTCATTTAGGTGATGAAAATTTAATTGAAATGATGGATAATACTATCTATACGGAAAGTTTTCAGGATAAATTTCTTCAAACAACAGAAGATTTTTATCGTTCAAAAGAATTTCCTAGCATAGAATCAAATAGCAAAATGTTGGAATATTTGAAATTGGTAGATATAGTTTGATTAAATCGATACAGATACATTGATGAATTTTAGGTAGCAAAATATTTTGATTATGAAATCAATCAAGCGAAAACTTATCTACCTGAACAAAAATCAACATTAACAACATTGATAGTTTTACTCGAAACAATATTTTTTCCAACTGATATTTTCAATATTATTGTAGAAAAACTACAATTACTTGTATCAGATGAGAATAATTATCAAGGTAAATATTATTAAATTAATTTGTTTTTAATATTTATCAAATTTCTTATATTATTATAGAACTAGCTGTATTGTTTGAACCAATTCGTGAATTACCAAAATTAAAAAATGAATTGTTGAAGTTAATTGAAATTCATGTTAACCAAAAGGCAATTGAGTCTATCAGTAACGATCTAATTAAGGTAAATTTATCAGTCTTTTTTATCTATCTGATGTCATATAAATGTAATATTTAGAAACCATTGTTATGCATTGAAACAATTATAAATATTCATGGAAAATATTTAAAACTTATCCAGGAAACCTTCGTAGGAGACCAAAGTTTCGTTGCCAGTTTTCATAAAGTAAATTTCTTCATTTAAAATTCAGTATATTGCGAATGAATAATATAGGTTTATGCTAAATTTGTTAATCAAAATCCAATATTACGAAGGACTAGTAACATGATGACACCAGAAGAAATTTTCGCTCGATATTGTGATAGATCACTGAGAAAAGGGTTTGTACAAATTCATTTATAACATTCAATTAAAACTTATTGTTTTTTTTTTGTAGAAGTAAAGCTGTAAAAAATGATGATTGGAATGAAAAATTGAATAATATTATGGTGATATTTCACGCTGCAGTTATTTTCGAATGATTTATTATATTGCTTTTTTAGATTATCTTCAATTATCTCAATGACAAATATTTGTTTATGATTTTTTATCAGAAAATGTTACAAGAACGTTTGATTCATCAATTAAGTGTATCGAAGTCTTATGAAGAATTATTAATATCAGAATTTAAAGTAAAAATATCATTTCAGTAGACGAATTTATTATTTTGTTTTTCTATTTAGAATAAATGTGGTTCTGAATACACAAAAAAACTTGAAGAAATGATTGAAGATATTCGTTTAAGTGAAGAATTAACTTACCAATTTCGAATTGATCAGAAAAATACACATGGAGATAAAATTAGTAAAATCTATTCGAATAATAATCTTGAAGCAAATATTTTTTTCATAGATTTTTTTTCATTTATGGTTCTTAATTCGGATTCTTGGGTACTTTCTCATTCATCGGATGTACTTTTACCAGACAAAGTTAGATTTTGATATTAAAATTCTTCTCTTCAATAAATCGATATTTATTTTAGTTAAAAACTGTATATGATAATTTCACAACATTTTATCTTAGTAATTATGTTGGTCGAAAACTTACACTACTTCATCGATATTCCGAAGGAGAATTACAAATAAATTTCACAAGAGAAAAACATCGATTAAAAGTAAGAAGAAATTAGTAGATTCAATCTGGAAAAATTTCTTTGCATTGAAAAGGTATCAACATATCAAATGGTGATTTTATTATTATTTAATCAAGAATTAACTTGGACATTCGAACAAATTCAAGACAAAATACAAATTCATCCGAAATTATTATTAAAAATTCTCTCGGGCTTGTTGAAAAGTGATTTATTAATATCTGACAATCCTCTTACAGTAAACAGTCGAATCGAACTAGCAACAAATTTCTTAAGGTAAGTTTTCTTTTGAATAAAGTTTTAAAAATGAAATAAATATTTTTTAGTAACAAAATTCGATTGAATATAAATCTTCCATCTAAAGCTGAAGAGCAAAAAGATCGCTATCATTTCACGAAAGCAGCAGTTGAGGAACGGCGAATGTTTATTCAAGCTGCTCTCGTTCGAATAATGAAAAAGAAACAGACACTAAAACAATCACTATTAATACAAGAAGTTATTCAACAACTCACTTCAAGATTTAAACCAGATATATATTTAATCGAAGTAAATTTCCTTGACATATTATATTAAAAATATTCTTTGTCATTAATTTAGACGTGTATTGAAAAGTTAATTGCGTGCGAATATTTTCAAAGAGATTCAAACGACAACGATACTTTACATTATTTGCCTTAAAACGAGCAACTAATACTCTCTACTTTAATAATCAAGAAGAGACATTCACTTATACCCTCAAGATTTATTTTTATTGTCTTTTGAAATAATTAAATAAATATATAAACTCAACACAGTACAAAAAAAAGCATTTATATTTTTTCTCTATAATATTCATCGAACGAATAAATAAAAAATACCAATAGATGGGTGTGGGTGAGTCTATGAGAAGAACACCCACATCCATCCCATACATAGAATTATTTTATTTTATTTTGTGGAAACTAAAAAAAACTGATTTAATTGTTGAGAGTAATATTTCAGAGTATTTATACTATATTCTTTTCATTACAGTTTTATTCTATTCTTCAACTTTAGAAGTTTTAATAACTGTCAGTTTGTCTTCAAATGATATATTGAATCATGATATTTTACTTTTGAATGAAATTGAGAAGGACAACAAAGTACACACAATTATGAATAGAAAAAAAAAAATTTTTTTTCTAACTATTTAACGTCTTGTTAAAATGGTGAAGAACGAAAAAAGAAATCGTTCTTTTTTTCTTTCTTGAAATAAATTGTGTACTTTACTGTTGCTATGTTTTCTTTTGATTAAAAGAAAAAAGTATTTGCGTCTATAGTTATCATTTGAATTTTATTCAATCATGCCCAAAACAAATCATACAACAAGCAAATAAATAAGAAAGAACATAGAGTCCACAAGTTACTAGCATACCAACTGAACAACCTATTTGTGCTTTAAGAAATATATATTTAGCTGTTGGAGGAGATGTATAACATGGATCAACTATTGTTTGTACTCCATTAAAATAAATAGGTGTACAATTTTTTGCAATATCACCATATGCAGAATTAAAACTTTTTATATCACGTAAAGCACAACATAAATTATCACCTAGGTAACATTTACATATATTATCTTGAAAATATACATCGAAATAAATGATAACACATGCTAATGCACCACTCATTACTATTAATATAAATATAGTATTAAAAAAATTTTTTTTTTCAAAACATACCATTTAATATAAAGAGATAAGTAGCACAACATCGTCCACGACAACAACAAGCTAAATAAATCAATTATATAAATAGAACTATTTTGTTAAAATCTAACTTACTTATAATGAACATCATTACAAATGTTAAAATAAATACAAGAGAAGACCAAAAACCAGCCCAAATAGTTCCATGTGCAACATCATAATAAAAAGAACCAAATTCTAAACCAGCTATTGCTGCAGTTAAAATTAATTGAAGTATAGCTAATACTAAAGTAATCCATCGAGGAAATCGTTCTTTGAAACCCATTCTATTTTATATAATAAAAGAAATTTACACGTTCTCTTTTTTTTTTGTTTCAAAAAAAGAAATGCAAATACCAAATAAAAGTTGATTGTAACTGTCGAGGAAGAAACGTTACGTATGCAATAATCATACATCTCTTTTTTTTATACCTTAAAATAAAGGATGAAAAAAAAACGAACGAGCAAAAGAATAATGTAAATAAATATAAATCAAATTTCGACTGACACTGAAAAAGAAATGGTCATAATCTTGTTACATTACTCCCTGACATATTCTAGGTCTTCGCAACTATTTTGCAATAACTTTAACATATTGCATGTTTAATCAAAGAGTAGAAAAATATTATAAGATGAATCTTGAGGGTGTGGGTGTAGTTCTGAAAGTCATGAGGAGCCACCCACACTCTTGACGTATAATTTAATGTATATTCTCTTTCTCGTAGAGAAGAGTCCAGTAAGAATAAATTGTTTGCTTGCTTGTCTGTGCCCAGGATAAAAAAAAAAAAATCGAAAATCGATTTTTCGAAAAAGCATTTTGATGCAGGGATTTCGAATCTGATGTTAGTGTTTGCAAGTTATATAAGCAAAAGGTTCCGTAGCATTACAGAATACCATTTCTACGAGAAAGAGCTAAGCGAGTCCTTAGACGAGCGTTACTTGTTTTAATAAATGTTAGTATTTAAATCAATTGAGTGAATATATTTCTTAGAAAACGAGAATAAGTTTTCACGTAAAATAATGTTGTATAATATGAATAAAATTATATTTAATTTATCTTTTTTTTCTTCACATATATTTTTATTTCATTGAATTTTAGAGTTTAATCGAAATACGCAATAATTCTATTTTAAAATCCTTGTGACCTATTTTAATCTCTGAGTATTTAATGTCTGGGTTAATAATAGTCATGTTCACAGGTATTTTATATAGAAAACATGAGTAGTATTATCGTCTAGTGAACACATGATAAATCATTTATAGTTATGATTTTTATTCATATATGACTATTTATTTGATAAAGAATTTTATCATACTTTTTTTCTGTAATAATCATCAACAAACTTGATTAATTACAAGTGTATAATATATGATTTTTTTGACATCGATATATATTGTATAAATTCTCTATTTTTATTCTTATTAAATACATTTCATCATGTATTACTATCGATTGTTCACATATACGATTATTCTTCAGATATTTTTTGCAATTGTACATTCCGGTCCTAAAAAATGTAAGAACTTTATAACTTAATATTTCTTTTTTTTATTTAATTTATCTATAGAATATTATTATTATTTCTATTCTAGACCATGAATGTAGATTGGATTTTTTAAAATGGAATTGTTCAAGTAAATAATGAATCTCTTTTTTATATTTTATATAGTTCAGCTATTTAGGTAATCAGGAATGTGGTGACAGATACATTCCATGTACTGCCAAATCTGATAGGCCACTAGAACAATATGTTATAGGACTAATAATGCTTGGTATCATTTGTCCTGCAGTGTTTCTTGGTGCAGTCGCTCTCATCTGTTATAGTAAGCGAACAAAACAAGCTGAATTACGGCGTACCTTACGATCTTCAAAGATGGACACTCAATTTCTAAATGTCTATCATATCGAATCAGATTCCTCACCAACTGACGAAACTTCAATTGAAAAATCTACTCTACCTTCTTATGAGCAAGTTACAAAAGAAACAGTAGAACAATAAATAATTGTAATATATAACTTGAGGGTATGAGATAAAGATAAGTTTCATACCTTCATCCTTTTCTAAAAATGATTTTCAATAGAAAAAAATATATATATATATTCCTTTGTTGTTTTTTCTTTTATCATCTATTTTCGAATACATCAGATTTAAACTAAATATGATAAAAATTTATGAAAAAAAAATAAAAATATGACCTAGCAGAATTTATTAAAACTTTAATATAAGATATTGATCCGTTTATAGATTTTAGGGCGTGTATACGAGGTTATTTTATCAATATTTGTCCTCCTACTCTTGTTTTCATCATATTACTTGCAAAATTTTAGAAAAAAAAAATGGCCAGCTGTTTTCATATATCAGAAAGAAATTGTGTATAAATAAGAAATCTATAAGGTTCGATGATATGGTCCTTTTTTTTTAAATATAGGTTGTTATTCGAATAGAGACCCTATTGTTTTGCCTATGTAATTTTTTATCACATGCGTGATGATGAGAGAGAAAACATATGTGAAGCTATTCTCTTATTGAATATAGGTTATTAAAAGGTAAGGACATTTTTATTTTGCTCTATTAACTGATTGAAATATAAACGAGAATGACCCGAGTTTTAATCTCGATTTTATCGTTATTCGTTATATTATTCAGCAATACCAATGGTTTGAATGTAACGGAATATCTTTCGTACATAGAAGATTTATCTCGTGATCCACATTTTGTTGCAGAATATACTAAATGGGCACTTGAATTATCTTCTGATCCTGAATATATGTATGGTGCATCACAACCATTTCCATGTTCAACAAAAGGAATGCAAAGTACAGAAATTCCAACATCCGTTCATGCTCTACGACCAGGTGATATTCAATGTGTTGGAGCTATAGGTGATAGTATAACAGCTGGTATGGGTGCTCATGCTCTTACTCCAATTGGTGTTCTTTTGGAAAATCGAGGTCATCTAGTTTGCTTTTTTCTTTTTCTTATTTTATTTTCAATTTCATTGTTCTATTTAGGTGTTTCTTGGTCAGCTGGTGGTGATCATACATATGAAAAAATGATAACATTACCCAATATTCTTCGTTTATATAATCCAAATTTGAAAGGTTTTTCAACTAAAACTTCAATTTCATTTCTCAATGGACAAAATGCAAAACATAATGGATTAAATGTTGGTATGTTTTACTTCTTTTTTTTTTATAATTATTATTAGTTCAAATTTCTATTTTCTAGCAAAATC